GGGGACGGGGCTCCTGGGGGGGGACACGAGGGGCCCCCTTCACTTCTCCTGGTGGACAAGCGAGGAAGTGTCTGGCCAGGAGACGCTCTCCTTGGCAGGGCTCGCACGTTGGAATAATAAATACCACCCCGATCTGCACCAGGGATGCTGCTTTTAATTTTCTCCCTACATCCCCAGAGCGTGCTAATGAGAGGAAAAGATTTTTTTTTTTTAAACTGTAATAATAACAACAATAATTTAGTGCTTTAAAGCGAGCCCTTTTCCCTATCCTCCAGCAATATTTGAAAGCGTTCCCCCTGGAGTTTCCTCTCCTATGGCCTTTGGTAGGGAGAGGGCGATGGCTCGGGTGTCCCCGAGCACCTGCCCACGTGGGGTGGGAGCTGGGGTGGGGTGGCACTGAGAGGGGGCTCATCGCTCCCGCACCCGCTCCGTGAAAAATAACCCGCCTGGAAATCGCTCAAAAGGTAGAAGAGTTTGGAAACCGTCTCGCCCGGCGTGTTTCCAGAACGTCGCCTTGTTCTGGTGTTTCCCATTTGCTAGCTGGTTTATCATGGCCGTTTTATCTGGGAAAAAAATCAGTGGAAGCGGTTAAATGAGCTGGCTTTAAAGTGACTGGGGATAAAGGTGACGCTTTGCTTTGAGAATATACCAGGGGTGCAGAGGAGAGTTGAGTAAAGTGCTCTTGCGTGGGGGAAGCAGCATGGAGAGCCTGGAGCTGCAGGGGAGCCCTTTGCTCAGGGCCTGCTTGTGCAGGTCGCCGTGGTCGGACTAAGTGGAACCAGGAGAAAAATGGGGGGTCTTCTGCTTTTGTAACTCGGTGTAGCACTCAGAGGCTCTCTAGGTGTGGAGCACGGTGATTCTGATCCACGGGGGCTGCGGGGTAAGGAGGAGGAGCTTTCGGAGAATTGTGATTATAATTTAATTGAGCGTTAGATTAAGTCGGTGTTATAGTTACTCTTCACAGAAGGGACGCGAGAGCTCTGAGCTTATCGTACTCGCGTTGCAGTTTTCATTTGAAACGTCTGAGCCTTCTCCTACCTTGCAGCGGTTCAAAGGATGCGGTCGCAGTTCATTAGAATAAGGGAAAGATCTAAACTAAATATTACTTAGAATATTATTACAATAAGAATACTTACCTGTGATGAAAGGCTTTTAAAAGGATTAGACCATTTGCCAATCCTTTTGTGTGCATATATATGTGTGCATGCATGTCTTATATTCGGGTCCTATATTCGATTGGGGACAGGGCGGTGTCGATGGGACCAGTTTACCGAGGCATCAGGAGCAGGCGTTGCCCCGCTGTGGGTGCATCTGCGTTTTCACAGGCAGTATGCGATGCGTACTTTTTAAAATAGGCCGAAGATACTGACTCCCTTATTTACCGGTAAATTAATTTGAAACTCAGTTGAAATCATTTTGGCCATTAAAAAAAAAAAATTCATGTCATTTTTTCAAATGTGACTTGCATGCAGCTGCCCAGAGCTTTTAGACCAAAGGAGCTGCATCTACCGTGCGGTGAAACGCTTGACTGTGGTATCACAGGATGGGAATTATCTCTGAAAAGGCAAAAAAAGGCAGATTTGGGCTATAGAAATCTCGGCTAAACAGTAAGTTGAAAGTAAAATAGCTCACAGACAACACACTTTTTGACGTTTTATTGGCAATAAATAATACGTTGATGATACTGTTTTGAGTGGTGTGTTAAGTGTGCCATAATTCTCTTGCAGAGATCTCTAGTTAAAAACTACTCTGGCTGTAGCACTGTTTTAATTTAAAAAAGCAGATATAAATCACATGCAGGAGAGGAAGTATGTTATAAACAGTGCTGGGTTTGATTATAATTTTTTGAAATAATGTTGGCTTAGTATTAGATTTGAATTTTAATTATTAATGTTTACAGGCGCTGGGGAGGGTGTCCGTGTTGAGCGTGCTGATGAGGTTGTTAATGCAAACTGGTTTTGTGGGTAGGAGCATTGGACCTGGACCTATTAATATAGCTCTATCTAGTGATAATCCAGCATAAAAGAAATAGTTGCTGTGCTTCCGAGTCCACATCATGTTCGCTTCTTAATCTTACTAGCCAGCGGTGCTTTATTTGAGTAGACTTGGCAGAATTTGGCCCTCTCTGTTTATGCCTGGGAGTTTTTACTGGAAGTGCTGAAGACCCAAATGGCCCCGGTAGATGTTACAGGTGGCTTCTGTATGATGCTGAGAGTAGCAAAGAGCCTTAGCGGACCTAAAGGCAGGGGGGGGAAAAAAAAAGGGACGTGAAGTCTAAAACCTCTCCCCAGTAGCACCACAGTAGTTAAGGGCCTGTCAGCATTTCTACTCCAAACCCCAATTTTCAGAGTTTATAACTCAGCTGTTTTAAATAGCTTCAAGCTGAAACCTGCTGTATAAATTGTCAGCCCAGATGTATATTTTGAAACAAAAAGTAGCGAAAATCAGTTATTCTGTTTCAAGTTACAGAACATTAAAATATTTTTAATAGTATCAGATGCTCTCTTGGCAATCTCTGGAAAAGGCATTCTCAATACAGAAGATTTTACGTTCAGAGGCTGTTTGGAAGTGGTAGATACCAATGTTCGAGAGGAACTATTTAGCATGTAGACTGTTTTTTTTTTTTTTTTCGAAATGAGCGTTGTACTCTGCAGAAAGTCTTAGTACCTGCTGGATAGTAGTTTTGCTTCATGCTTATAACTTCCGTCTTTAGGGTACATACTTTGGCCAGCTCAAATCCCACTGGACCGAAACTGGGCAAACAGGTTGCCTAACCAGACGAGAATTGTGTTATGCAAAAAATACATAGTTATTTTCAACTTGTAAGAATTGCTTTGGTTTTATTTTGCGGCTTTATCTGACTTCATGGACCTTTTCGAGCTTCAGTTAAAAAAAAAAAAAAAAGCAAAAGCAAATTCTACCTTTAATCACCAAAATGTGTAGGTAGTTTAATACGGAAAAATAAAGATTTTGAAATAGTAGAGAGATTTATGGTTGAAGAATAGGTAAGGAATGTGCACCGTGGCTACTTTTAATCTTTAATTTTTTAAGCAGTCCTTATTCATTTCACAATGCACTGACAATCCTCTTTCTAAGAATAGGTAAATAATTTTGGATTGATACGTGGCATGAAGTTACCAGTCAAGGTTCACGCCAACAGTCTTTCAGTACGTAAAGTTACTTTTTAAAAGCCTCAGAATGATGTGTGTTTCTCCAGGCTTCAAACTGGCTTTACACAGCTTTTTTTCTAACCAGTGCTATTAGGTCTGTGCGCAATAGTACTGGTATTTCATGGTGAAAAAGTATGAAAATATGAAGAAAAAAAAAGCATTTCACTGCTGGTGCGTAGCAGGGGAGCTTCCCATGTAGTAATAGGACTTCCTTTATGAGCCAAAGTTTTTATTTGCCCCTCTGATTTCAGGCTGCCTTTTCCTTCGGTCGTCTGCTCGTGAGCCGAATAGCGATATTGCATCATACGGCATCAAAAAGCCGGTGCGTTTTAGCAATGATGCAGTTCTTGGTGAGGCGCGATCAGCCCAGCGCCTCTGGCAGCGGCACGTGCAGCTTCGGGCTGATGTCTAAGCTGACAAATTGAACTGCCATCGGCGAGCGGCAAGGGTAGGGAGGGAACCGCTGAAAAGCAGCGGGGGACAGGGGAGCCTTCGAAGAGGTTTTGCTCCCTCGAGCGCCGGTGCTGCAAGCCGTGCCCGTGCGGGGCTGAGCCGGGGAGGTGATGCCGCTGCCTGCTCCGCGCTCTGGTTACCTCGAGAGAAGGAGGTGAGCGGAGGCTGCAGTCATTTCGCTCCCTCTTCCGAGGCCCCTGGCAGACTCGCACTTCCTCCTGTGCTCTCGGCTTCTTTGCATTTCTGGAGTTAATGTGGTATATTTTTTTTGTTTGTTTGTTTGTTTCCTGAGATATAAAAAGCAGAGGTTGCAACTCCCCTGGATGCTACTGTGCATGACAAGACTGTCCAGAGATAACGTGGCCTGTTGCAAACTGGCAAGCGAGCGTTTTAGAAGCAGTCTCAAGCCCCGTGCTTTAGAGTTTAAACCGGTATCCATTTATTAAAGGTTAGAGTCAGCTCTATAACCTGTTCAGCAGATTATTATTTGCTATTTGATTATTATTTATTATTCCTTACACCTCGCTTTGAAGCCCTCAGACCCGGTTGCTGTCAGACCCAAGGCAGTGAGCTAGTGGGACCTCAGATCTTATCCACAACCGTGGTTCCTGTGTTTTTATGTTCAGGGACGTTCATGTCACTTTGAAGTAACATCTTTGCTTGGTAGACCGAGACCTCACAGTATTTTGTGGCAAAACTCCATTTACAGTTTTAGGTAGTATTACCTGGTGTTTTATGGAAAAACAGAAAAGCGCCAGGGTAGATCCTTTAATGCAGCGTTTCAGCTTTGCTTTCTTCTTTCTCTTCTATATTTCTTTTAAGTAAGATGAGCTATAATTTTCAGTAATATAGTCTAGTTTAAATATGTTCAGATTTTCTATGCCTTTGTCATTAATTTTTATTGGTTTAGAGAAACACCGTACGGTGCACTGGGCCACATAAGGCTCTCCCTATACATCCAGAACTCCTCATTCTTTCCACTTAATTAATATTAAAGTGCAACCTGCAATTATTAGTTTCAGACAGGATCATTTATGGAAAAGACATTTCAGGCAGGGCTTATGACAAAACGTAGTATATATTTCAGGAGACAGAATAAATTACTCCAAATAGTATAAAAAGTGACCATGTGAACTGGTAGAAAACGTGAGGGGACAGACTTTGTATCTTGAGATTATTTTTTTTCAAGTTAGAGCTCAGCCATGCAGTATTTGTGAATCTCTTTTTGTTATAAATTTGTTTCCAGCACCAGTACTAGCTCACTGGGCAAAAGGAAATTATTTTCTTGATACTTTCGTGGACTTTTTTTACCCCATGTGAAGAAACGTGTATTTTCTTCCTGGTAACTGAGTATTCCAGTTTATTTTTACTTTAAAAAGTCACGGTGCAGTAACACTGTAGGTACCCCTGGCATTTTGAAATTAGAAGACAGGAGCTGCCTACTCCATGGCATTTATCTAATCAGATGTTGGAGCACTACACAACCTCTGAAGGATAAAAGTGAGACTAGCAGCTAGTTGAAACGTAAGGAGAAATACTTTAATATCTTCTGTTCACCCGTCCTGGAATTCGAGGGAGGTATCAGCACTAACCACATGCGACTCTTGCGAGCGCTATGAACATTTACATGCCTGCGAGGAAACACAGCCTTTGTTTTATATTGCATCTGAAGAGTTTGAATTCCAGCCCTGAAGTGCTCCATCGCAGCAGCATGTTGGGTGGAGAGCTTTGCCTGCTAATGCCCCCCGCGCCCCTCCCGGGATGGGGAGATGGGGATTCCTCTCTAGCTTGAAGTCTGAGGAGCTCCGGGGTCGGAGTGATGGGTGCAACCAGGAGAGGAGTAGAACCAAATCTGTGTGATATGGCTGCTAACAGTAACTTCTAGCTTTCCATTTCAAATGTGCTGCCGTGTATAATTTATGGATATGAGCCATGCCTCGTGTTTTCTCGCTGCTCGCTGGTTGCTAAAATCAAAGTTGTCCTTCAGGAAGCATTAAACCATACACTCTACATAAGGACGTTGAATGTTTCTGAAGAAATGTAACCAAGAAGAAACTCCCTATTAGGCTATGAGAAAGGGAGACAATACAAGATGTTTCTTTGTTTGATGTGGCACTTTGTTCTGTGTTCAGCTAATACATGACTCTTCACCACAGCGGGCTGGAGGAGCTGCCACAGAGCTTCGTAATGAGCATGGCAGCCTGCAAAGCGGGGATGGAGACACGCGTTTTCCAAGCGCTGCTTCACAAGTCATGGTTGTCTTCCCTTTTTTGCAGGTGGTGGCCTTAGGAGAAGTGCCTGATGGGACAGTGGTCACCGTCATGGCTGGAAACGATGAGAACTACTCTGCAGAGCTGCGGAACGCTTCTGCCGTGATGAAGAACCAGGTGGCCAGATTTAATGACTTACGCTTTGTCGGCAGAAGTGGAAGAGGTAGGCCACTGCATTTTACGTGTCCATAATAAAGTAAAAACAATGTCTAGATGTCAAACTTTGCAATGAAATACTGATCAATCTGTAAATACATTGTTGTCGGCCTTCCATTTGGAGGGATGAATGCATGCTTGATTTGCAAACTTCAGCATTTGTGCAAACCAAGTTAAGAGTTTCTCTTAAGTTTTTCTGGCTCCTCACATCTCTGTACGTTTTCACAAGACACAGATTTTGAAAAATGATTCGTAGAATACCTGCTTCCCTGTTTTTATCTCACAGCAAAGGTAGAAGGAAATGGGGGTGTTGGTGATCTGAGTTAGGTGTAGTCAGAGAGTGTATCTCAGGCCACGGCGATGAGAGCTGGAGGATTCCCTTTAGCGGTAGAGCTGCTTCTGAAGTTGTTGCAGAAGACCTACAATTAAGGGGATTTTGCATATCGTATGTGCTACAGGTTATATTCTTTAAGGGCTTACATCTTTAAGGTTTCACAGCCGTTGGTGGAAAGCTTTCGAGTGACTTCCCTGCCCTTTACAATTAAATTGCGTACGACTTGCAAAAATAAGTCGAACTTTTCCTTTTAGTAAACTGGTTGACTTTTTGTGGATTGCTGGTAGGCTTGGGCTTGAACTAAATTTAACCTTTACTTTAAATGACAGGGTAACTTTCGATACATTTTTTGAAGATGTGGAGTGCTGTCATTGTCTTCCAGCTGTTTAGGAGCTTCCTATAATCTGGGAACTGCACTGCACTCATAGAAAGCCTTTGTAATCATTGCAAAGTTTGCAGGAATTCTTCTTTAAGAGTCTTGTACCTGCTTTCGAATCTGAGGTAACGACTGAAAGGATAGCTTGAAGGAAGCTGGCGCTTCAGATTTTGCTGCAGGAATCTTCAGAGGGGTTTGTTGTATCAGTTGTTGATTCAACCTACATATTTTTTTTCCTGTATGTATTTGAAGTAATTACTCCTTTTTTAAACTGGCCCTGTATGGGGCAAAACAAAGCAATAGAAGCTGAACAACTGTGTTGGGAAATTAGCAAGAAAGCTAATTTTACAGTAATATTCTTTAGAAAGCAGTTGTAATTCATCTTAAGGAAGGAAAGAATATTTATCCGAAAAAAAAATGGAACATATGACAGAGGCCTAGATAGTCTAAATCAGTCGGCACACTTTTACAATTGCAAGTGCTTTGTGAAAGTGATTCCATAAGGGTGGCTTACAAGGGCTATTTTTTATTTTAGTGACCTGGCCAGCAATTCTCTTTATCATTTTACAACTTGAAAAGTATCGATGATAAAGAGTAACTTGAAATACAGTGTAACTGTCGCAAAATTAATGCAATGTAAGTATGGAGTTTATCACCCCTTTGGATAAGGTGTTACCTATCCCTTCCATTTGTCTTGCTTTCTTTAAAAAAACCCAGTCTGCTTTGTTATTCTGCTGATGGATTAGGTTTGAAAGTTCTCTGGCTCCATCACTACTGCTGCCTTACAGTAAAAGTTCAGTAGTGTATCAGTCTTTCAGTAGTGCTGAAAAAGAACTGAAATGTGATGTACTACCTCTGATCTGTGAATTTCATTTGAAACCTATGATATATACTTTTTATTAAAGTGTAGGAAATGAAATAGGGGCCCTAAAGCCTCAGTAGATATGGCTACAGACACATACAAACACAAACCTCCTAAAATTTGGTTCCAGTAGTTTAATTTATATTTGTATCTAGCAGACTTGGAATAGACTTCTTCTCTGATCAATCTGGGTAGAATCTATGGAAAAGTGATAGTGTACTTTTCAAATCCTCAACGTATTTATTTAAGAGACTTCAAAGAAAAACAAAGGGTGTGCACTGTTTTACTATATTGGCTTTCTGAGTTTTGGCTAGTTTCCCAAATAGCAATTTTTATATTTAAAAAAAAAAAAAAAAAAAAAGGGAAGAAAAAAGACAGACTTAACTGCTTGCAGACTTTTCACGCATGGAAGATGAAGAAAGCTTCTTTTGATGAAGTGTAATTATGTCCAAACAGAGCTGACCCCCTCCCCCTATATTTCTTATGATCTTAACGGAAGAAAGTAGGGCTTTTCCTTTGAAGCAGCCGGGACTCGGTGGAGGATCTGAAATGCTGCATTCTGCTGCCAGAGGCAGGATGGAGAAATTGGTCCAGACTTGTCTTCCAGACTTAGAACAGGGAGGGGGGGAGAGAGAGAGAGAGGGAGAGAAGGAGAAAGAGTTATCATTAACGATAGATTTTTAGAACTCTGCTGAAAATAGCAGGGAAAGAAAGCAGTGGTTTCAAACAGAAGTGAGAAAGCTCCTTACATAGACAAATATCGGTAGGTACAGGTCTTGAAGTAGAACAGGAAAAATAAACTAATAAAGAAATCATTTTTTAGTGGCAAGAAACTAATCCACACCTGTTCCTGACTTCAGATTTACATCTTTCTAAACAGCTCGCCCTTTGATCTCTGTATCTCTAAATTTGATTGTGAAGTCTGAATCATCAGCTTACCACTTCACCTCCTCTCCCACGTTTTTTCTTGCTTCCCATGGCTCAATGGAGAAACTTGATTTTTATACATATTAATGGTGCTTGCCTGACAGAAGCTTCACGTTTTTGTTTGCATAATTTCTCTTAAACACCTTTTCTGGATTCATAAGAATGAGTAACCGGGGCGCTTTATGTGAATGCAGAAGTTGTTTGTATGTGGTTTTCAGGCGGTAGCTCACTTTTACAAGCCTGATCCACAGCGTGGAGAAGAAAGAATTCCTGTCTTCAATAAGCAAAGGATCATAACCTTAATTTTGTTGTGTCCTGATACTTTAATCACATTAGCATCTAACTGAAAAAATATGCAATGCGCACAAGCTGCTGAGCCTCCTTTCAAACTAATTTCTGGGGTTTGCCTTGTGCTTCAGCATATGCCCATCTCGTCCTCCTCCGCCTCAGCTCGGCTCACGTGTGAACAACAAAGAATGCACAGTTTAGACACACTGAAGCAAGAGTGCCAGATGACTGCTTGGCTGGGGAATTTAATAAAAGAGAGCTACAATTAGTCTTTAGCCTCTAAAAGTGGATAGTTGGAACGACTAAGGGCAATAAAGGGAGGTGATAAAAAGTGCATTAAAGGATTTCGTAGCTGAGGAGGGATATCTGTGAAATACCTGGGGAAGGCATAAGCATCACTGAAACAGGGGACCTTAAAAATTTATTTTTGTTCTTCATCCTGTAATATGTAAATCATCTCTTGAAAGCTCTGGGACCTGAGTGCGCTGGCAGGGCCGCGTGGCTCCCTGCGATGAAGTGACGCAGGGTTTACTGAGTGCGAGGGGGCTTCATCGGGGTTACTTCATTAATGCTTCCCTTTGGTAGAATCCCAGTTAGGGAACAAAACCGGGTTCCCTTTCAAATGAGGTGCTTACCTGTTCCACTTAGGCTGGCTGAGAGGTAATGATTTAGAGGTGCCCACAGGCGAGGTCGAAAACACAGCTCTTGGATATGAAGGAATGCATTTTTTCTGGCCACTGTATCCTGCTGAGGTATATTCGGTGCAGAGAATCACGCAGGCATGATTTTACAGGGTCTTACAAACAGTATATTTTGTGGGGTTCATTTTTTGTGATGGTAGACTTTTATGCTGATTTGGCATATAAGTAGAACGGTAGCATTGAAAGGCCAAATTCTCCCTTCAAAGGTATATGGAAAATCCCGTTAACGTCTTTGTTACCGATAATATCCTACCCATTTCGTATGGGTATCTGTGACCTGAATGGCATCATTGCACAGTTTCACAGTCAGAATTTTCTTGACATGATGGGCTGGCACTGAAGGAAGCCTTAAACCTGTCCCTGGCCAATTTCTATGCATCCGAGCAATAGGCTGAATTCCTGCTTGGAGAGGGATGAAAGGCACGGACCCTTTTCAGCCCTAAGCAGGCAGGCGCCGAGGCCCGGCGCGCGTCGGTGGGGCTGGCGCTGTACGTCTGGGGGCTGCACGCTGGCAGGGGGCACGGTTTAGCCCTGGGGACAGCGGATGGGCAGGACTGCACAAAGACTGGACCTCCTACATGCACCGAAGTCTCCTCCTGTGATGATCACTCTCAAAAGACTGGAGACATAAGCCCTTTCCCAGGATGAACTGGGGGAAGCCACCTTCAGCCACGCATCTCCACTGAGGCATCTCCACTCCTCCTGTGATTTTTGCACCTTTGCCGGGGTCTTGACCTCCCCTCTAACCTGCATCTCTCGGAGGGGGGGGCACAGCTACACCTGGAAAATCATTTTACTCTGAACGACAGTTACATTTCCTTAAAAAAAAAAAATCCATGTCACATTCTAGTTCGTGAAAAATACAGCCGAGACAGTTTGAAGTTGCACTCCTGATAATAAATGATGCGTGTCTCAGGCAGGTTTGGGGGATAGAAGACTTGGACCAGAAAGAAAGACCAATCACTAGATATGACAGCCAAAGCTCTGTGCTGTATTTTGCCTTATATATAAGCTGTTCTATATCAGGCTCGAAAAAACGGCATGAAGTTTTGTGCTGTTACATATCGTTTAAGATTTGTGTCTTGATTGAATGCCTTCAGAGTTCAGCAAGAGGGAAAAAACCCTAGCAACAAAAATGCAC